CAGATACGCTGGGCCGGAACCGTATAGGGTTTTGTAGGTCAAAACCAGCACTTTGAATTGTGCTTGGAACTGGATCGGCAGCCAGTGGAGCTGACATAACAGAGGGGTGGTATGCTCCCTGTATGACTCCGGTGAGTAATCTGGCTGCCGCCCGCTGGACTAATTGAAGTTTCCGAACAGTCTTCAAAGGCAACCCCACGTAGAGTGCATTGCAGTAATCTATTTGGAATGTAACAAGAGTGTGGACTACTGTGGCCAGATCAGACTTCCCAAGGTACGCAACACACAGCCTTTATTGAACTTGCTGACTGGGAGGTTGGTGGTTCAAATACGTGAGACAAGGTGAACTTCTGCTGGTACCCTCAGCAACTGCCAACCTAGCAGTTTGAAGACATGCAAATGTGAGTGGATCAATAGGTATCACATTTGCTGTAAGGTAAACAGCGTTCTATGCAGTCAATGTGGTTTCATGACCTTGGAGATGTCTACGGACAACGCAGGCTCTTTGGCTTAGAAATGGAGATGAGCACCACCCCCCAGTGTTGGACTCGACTAGACTTAATGTCAAGGGGAAACCTTTATCTTTTTATAGTTACATGTATTTTTGTGCACGTGCCAATGCTTGGGAAAGTTATTTATTTACACTATTGGTCCATTCATACTACACAGTTATTGTGCTGTGGTTCCACTTCATCTCCCATTACTTCATCTAGTGGAATCGTGTGGTTTACAATTGAGCTGGACCTTTTAAGAGTTCTCAGTGAGCTCTAGTGTTTCACCAGACTGTAAACTCTACTGTTTTATTGGCTGTTGCTATATCAATCAAAGTGGTATATAGTGCTATTGTTATTGTGCAATGTGAAAGACTCTATCACTCTCCAAACCCAACAACTAGTTTGGCCAATGGGAATTATTCTAGCATTTATGGGCTCTGGGTTGGATGGCCTTAGGGACACCATCTGGGATTGAACATGGTGATCCCAAATGGCAGTCCCCACTGCCATAGCACCTACAAAACTTTGGATCGCCCTGGAAGATCTGGAACTTTGCCAGAGTATAAGGCTGATCCCAAGTGAAAGCGCATGAATCAGGTGAGTTGTTTGGATGCTCCAGGCTAATGCATTTACTACACTGTGCTTTGTGGTAGCTTAGATGGCGCTGCAGTTAGACTGCATTATACAAGGGGCATTCATTAGAGATTTCCCCTGACCCACTTCTTCCTGTGGACTGATAGCAATGAAATTTGGCCCGGTTATGAGTCCTTCTCTCCATGGGTGCCACCAAGGGGCACACACTTCTCCCATCTTTTCTACACCTCGCTTGTAGAAGTTGACAGGTTGCTCCAAAAGCCACGTTGTGACTTCAGAAATCAGAGTCTTATCATCTGAAAAAGGGTCACGCTTCAAAAAGAACTTCCTTGTTGGAAAGAGGTGGAAGTCTGATGGTGCGAGGTGGAGTAAATAAGGAGGATGTGGTCGAATTTCAGAGCTACAGGAGCAGGCTTCCATTTTGGCAATAGGTGAGTTGGAAATGATGGTGCATTGTCTTGCAGAAGGTGGACGGACACCTTTGGTGAGCATGCCACATTGTCTCTTGGTTTTGATGGCCTCTCGCAATTTCCACAGAAGTGAAACATCATATGCCTCAATGATCCTGGTCCCTTTGCTAGGAAATCCAACCATCCTACTCTGTGCTGGTCCAATAATACTGTGAGCATCACCTTGCCTGTCGAGAGTTGGGTACGTGCCTTTTTTGGAGGCAGTGAATCAAGATGCTTCCATGGCATCGACTGGACTTGAGTCTCAGGATCAGAGGGATGGACCCAGCTTTCATCCTGTGTGATCAGTCTGTTGAAAAAGTCCTCCTGGTTTCCATGGCACATCATTGTCAAGAGAGCCTGAGAGCATTCGACTTGTTCCTGCTTCTGGAAAGGTGTGAGCAGCCGGGGGACCCAGCAAGAGAATACCTTATGCATGGGAAGATGGTCTTGGATGATTTTTTCCATGGACCCCACACTCATCTTGACATTTTGGACTAGGTGACGAAAAATTAAGTGGTGATTTTCCAAAATGGCAACCTCCACTTGCTGGATGGTGTGTTCCTCAATATTAGAGTTGGGTTGCCCTGGAATTGGAGCTGTTTCCACCAAAGTCTGACCACGCTGGAATTGACGATGCTAATTCTTGATGACATCATATGGTGGGAATCATTCCCATCAACCTCTTTCATCTCATCAAACGTCTCTTCTGATGTGTAGCCTTTCAAGGAAAGGAACGAGGACTCCTCTGTCTTCCACTGGGTCCATTCTCAAACCTCACACCACTTCAGCACCTGTCACATCAAGACCGTTACCAGTTTTGAGTTGTAAATTGGCAAGTAACCTATAGAGACGTAGATCATTACTCATGTGCAGTTTTAGCATCCTGTGATAACTAGAAGTGGGTCAGTGGAAATCTTTAATGAATACCCCTCATACGAGTCTACACTGACCATATAATGCCATTTCAAACAGGAGTAAAGGCTTAGGGTGCATTGGAAACGCATTTTCAGCCAGCGAATGGTCTGCCTATTTATCTCTCTCTGCAGTAGACAAAAGAGAAGAAAAGCCTAATGGAAGAAGCAAGAGCTGGATTGCCAAGAACCTTACCAGTAATATGAAGCCTCTCTCAGTTTTTTTTAAAAATTGTAATAGTCTAATAATAATCCATGCCAAATGCAAAAGGCTAAGACTTTGCAGCTCGATCTTAACTTTGTCAGGCTTTAAAAAAAAACATTTTGATAAATTTGCTTCGGAAAGAATATTTTATCCCATTCTACTTTGTTCCAGCGTATTTTGGATCCTATCTCATACCCTTCCTCGCCTGAAAACCTGCTGACTAACCAATGGCTTGCGTTTGGTTTATGGACCTGATGAAAATGAGATTTTGCTTGGCATCCACACTATACATTTCTCAGAGCTGAAGACTTGGCAAATTCATTATATTGCAGGCGAAGGCGTGGGATCAAATTTTCTACTCTTTTTTTAGAAATAGAGATTGGAGTTTCTGAAAAACAATGAGCCTGCTCAGGGTACAGAAATCCCAGTTTAATTCAGTCTTCCAGTGGCACCATTTGGGGGCCATCACACAACTTCCTGTAGAAAGAACTTACATCAGATTAATTAAGAGTCTCTTTATTGGTGTCAATGCCCGAATGTTATAGGAATGGGGATAGTAGTGGGTGTTAGCTGGTTTGCGACTTATGAACCTTGGTGTTTTGTACAGCTATTCCTAGTGCATATACCTGGCATTACCTGGCTGTCATTAGCCACTTACTTTTGCCTTTCTCCAGCTCTGAGAAGGCCTGCCTCATAATACCTCTATGGCAATGGTGGGCAGGCTCCACTTGTGGTTGTTTCCTTCCTCCATTTCCCTCTGACACTTTCTCCTTTTCTCTTTCTTTCTTTCTTTCTTTCTTTTTCTTTCTTTCTTTCTTTTCTCTCCTTTTCCTTGACACTTCTTTCTTCACTTCCTGCTTTCCTTCTTTCCCTCCTTTTTCTTTCTCCCTCCTACCTCCTGTCCTTCTTCCCCCTCCATTTCTTTACCTTCTTTTTCTCTTTCTGTCCTTCCCTTATACCTTTTCCACTTTCCTATCTCTTCTTTCCTTCCTTCTCTCCTTTTTCTTTCTCTCTTTCACTTCCTTCTTCCTTCCCCCATGTGTGCCACGTCTGGTCCATCCCTAATAATAATAATAATAATAATAATAATAATAATAATAATAATAATAATAATAATAATAATAATAATAACAACAACAACAACAACAATAACAACAACAACAACAAAGACCACCACTTTATTTGTATTCCACCCTATCTCCCCGAGGTGTTTCAGGGCAGATTCCAGCATATACACAAAGAACAGAGGCAAACATTCAATGCCTTGAAACAATGAAACACAAATACGCAAAGGCAAAGGCTTCCCCTTTCATCTCCGGCTCTTGGGGTGCTGCTCATCTCAATTTCTAAGACATTATATTATACTAGCCATCCCTTGCCAGGCGTTGCTGTGGCCCAGTCTGTGTATATGTACTTTGTGTGTGTATATATGTGTATATGTGTGTGTATATATTTGTGTATATGTGTGTGTTTGTGTATATATGTGGTTTTGAGCATGCGTTGTAATGTATTTTTTGTTTTGGGGCTTTTAAGTCTCTTCTGCTGTGTTTTTCAGTGTTTTTATGAGTGACAGTCACTCGTTGGCCTGCTAGGTGTCTTGTATCCAAATTTGGTGTCAATTCGTCCAGTAGTTTTTGAGTTATGTTAATCCCACAAACTAACATTACATTTTTATTTATATAGATTTATATTGTATTATTAGCATATCACAGGAGACAAGATGGAACTGTCTTCCACACAGCCCTAAATCCCAGAATATCAAGGCAGTAAATCCCACATTATCTGCTTTGAATTGGGTTATCTGCATCCACACTCAGATAATGTGGGATTTTCTGCCTTGATATTCTGGGATATAAGGCTGTGTGGAAAGGCCCCTTATTTTTGGGAAGGAGAGGTACCCGCTTTACTAGTATCCTTCTCATAGTTGCAGCTCTGAAGTAAATCATTTTACTCATCATACATGGCTGACTTGTTCTAAATTAGGGCATACATCTTCTGTTTAATGACCTGCCTTGGTATCTCCACTTGAGAAATGCGGCATCTTCTTTGCTCGCCAGGCTCTTCCCTTGATATCCATGCTTTACACTTCCTCCATAGTATTGATTTACTTGCTACTGCTGAGTAACTACTCTAATTGCTTTACTACTCAGTTACTGGTTGACTGTCAGTTTCGAAGGCTTGATGGACTGAAGTGAGCGCCGATGCATCTGGAGGGAGACCTTATCGGAAAATGGGATTTGACTCCTTTAAATCAGTTACTTTTGAAAAGGGAATGGAGAGCGAGGCAGAGAATGAATCTCCAGACTCTTTTAATTAAGCTTCGACTGTCTTCTGTCTTTGCCAGGCACTGCACTGATCCTGGCTGCTCCGGGACTGTTTAACCAACTACAGCAACATCCACCATGGACGGGAAAGAGGTTTATCTCATCTCCACATCAGGTAAGGGGTTTGGGTCTGTGTTATTTTTTATTTGTTTGCTTGCTTTTGAACTGGAAACTCAATGTTTGTAGTAGAAACCTATGTATGGAAGGGGAGGGTTGAAGCTTTTTCAGCTGCTATATCTTTTTTTGGTGTGTGTATATGGGGGAATCTTTACGCCCAGTGTAGGAAATGTGATTTTGATAGCCTCATTGATTCCCCATTAACCTGGCTCTTGAACATTACAGTTTTATGCTGGGAGGATGAACCTTTCACTTTATGATAGTGTTTCTCCACCTGGGGGTTGGGACCCCTGGGGGGATCACAAGGGGGTGTGAGAGGGTCACCAAAGACCATCGGAAAACACATTTTCTATTGGTCATGGGGGTTCTGTGTGGGAAGTTTGACTCAATTCTATCGTTGGTGGGATTCAAAATGCTCTTTGATTGTAGATGAACTATAAATCCCAGTAACTACAAATCCCAAATGTCAAGGTCTATTTTCACCAGACTCCACCAGCATTCACATTTGTGCATATTGGGTATTTGTGACAAGTTTGATCCAGATCCACCATTGTTTGAGTCCACAGTGTTCTCTGGATGTAGGTGAACTACAACTCCAAAATGCAAGATCAGTGCTCACCAAACCCTTCCAGTGTTTTCTCTTTGTCATGGGAGTTCTGTGTGCCAAGTTTTGTTCAATTCCATCATTGGTGGAATTCAAAATACTCTTTGATTGCAGGTGAACTATAAATCCCGGCAACTACAACTCCCAAATGTCAATATCTATTTTCCCCAAACTCCACCAATGTTCACATTTGGGCATATTGAGTATTAGTGCCTCGTTTGGTCCAGATCCATCATTGTTTGAGTCCACAGTGCTCTCTGGATGTAGGTGAACTACAACTCCAAAATGCAAGGTCAATGCCCACCAAACAAACCCTTCCAGTATTTTCTGTTGGTCATGGGAGTTCTGTGTGCCAAGTTTGGTTCAATTCCATCAATGGTAGAATTCAGAATGCTCTTTTAGTGTAGGTGAACTATAAATCTTAGCAACTACAACTCCCAAATGACAAAATCAACTCCTCTCCAAATCCACCAGTATTCAAATTTGGGCTTATCAGGTATTTGCACCACATTTGGTCCAGTGAATGATAATACATCGTGCATCTCAGATATTTACATTATGAATCATAACAGTAGCAACATTACAGTTACGAAAATAATGTTATGGTTGGGGTTCACCACAACCTAAGGAACTGTATTAAGGGGTCATGGCATTGGGAAGGTGTAGAAACACTGCTTTATGACTATGCTGAGGTTTCCATGTTGTGTTCTATCTGAGACCTATCACTCAGGGTGAGAGGGAAGCCATCCTGATAATTTATTGAATATTCTCGATGAACCTTACTTGGCGAGAACAAATGGAAACGAATTCCTAAAACAATAGCAAATCATCGAGAGGACAGCCATTTCTTCCTTATCACCTTCCTTTACCAACTGAATAGACTATGAAAGATCCTTTTCATATTTTGAAATCATCATCGCTCATACCTGTTCCCTTTTAAAAGCACATCTTTAATCAACGAATGCCAAGATATTAATTGCTTTGACACAACTGGAGCGTGTTAGGAGATGATCACACAACGTCCAAAGTCTGCACCATCTTGCAGAGGAGATCTTTTTTTCAATAGCCAGGCAAAACTCTATTCCAGTGTTTCTCAATCTGGTGGTTGAGACCCTGGGGGGGGGGGTCACGAGTGGGTTTCAGAGGGGCCACCAAAGACCATCAAAAAACACATATTTCTAATGGTCTTAGGAATCCCTTTGGCAGAGAAGGCTGAAGATCTCTACGCCTGTCCTTCTCTTCCTTTTTGGAAACAGACAGCAAATCCTCCCACCAAAAGCCCTCCTCTGCTGTGATTGGGCTGTTTTTGAGACTCCAAGCAGGGAGGGGAGAGCAGGCGTGCTCTGCACATGGTAGATTTGTGCATATGGGCAAGGAAGAGTGTGTGAAGCCAGAGAGAGGCTCACACCAATGAGTCCCTTCAAGGCATGGGGGTTCTGTGTAGGAAGTTTGTCCCAATTCTATCGTTGGTGGGGTTCAGAATGCTCTTTGATTGAAGGTAAACTATAAATCCCAGCAAATACAACTCCCAAATGTCTAGGTCTATTTTCCCCAAACCCCACCAGTGTTCACATTTGGGCATATTGAGTATTTGTGCCAAGTTTGATCCAGATTCATCATTGTTTGAGTCCACAGTGCTCTCTGGATGTAAGTGAACTACAACTCCCAAACTCAAGGTCAATGCCACCAAATACTTCCAGTATTTTCCGTTTGTCATAGGAGTTCTCTGTGCCAAGTTTGATTCAATTCCATCAATGGTGAAGTTCAGAATGCCCTTTGATTGTAGGTGGACTATAAATCCCAGCAATTACAACTCCCAAATGACAAAATCAAACCCCCACCCTCACCGCACCAATTTTCAGATTTGGGCGTATCGTGAATTTGTGCAAAATTTGGTCCAGTGAATGAGAATACATCCTATTGGATATTTATGTTACAATTCATAATAACAGCAAAATGACAGTTATGAAGTAGCCACAAAAATAATGTTATGGTTGGGAGTCACCACAACATGAGGAACTTATTAAGTGGTCGCAGAATTAGGAAGGTTGAGAAATACTGTTCTATAGAGACCCCAGTGTCACAGCAGGTTAAACCGCTAAGCTGCTGAACTTGCTGACCAAAAATTCGCCAATTTGAATCCGGGTAGCAGTGTGAGCTCATGCTGTTAGACCTAGCTTCTGCCAACCTAGCAGTTTGAAAACATGCAAATGTGAGTAGATCAATAGGTACAGCTCCGGCGGGAAGGTAACGGCGCTCCATACAGTCATGCTGGCCACATGACCTTGGAGGTGTCTACTAGGCTCGTGCATTTGATATGGAAATACCCATGATTCAGATCTAGGTCAAATATTTAGCACTTTTGTAGCAAGTTACGACACGACTGCTTGCTGGCCCCCTAATATTAGGAATTTAAGTCAAAAGGAGCCTGTGATTCTTAAGATTTGGATATGTTTGGATGTAGCTGTGACAGAGCTAAAATTCTCAGGGCAACCAAGCCCTGCTGAGAGGCGATGCCAAACATGTTGGCATGCCTCTCCAGCCATCAGGGATGACAAAGGAGGGAGGAGGCGGCAGAGGTGGAGATTGCTAAAAATATGTTGTTTCTTAAAGATTTGAAAATTTGCCAAAAATTCATGGATAATTCAAACATCCTGAAATTTAGTGAGCTAACAGTGGTAAATGTGTTATACCACTGTAGCAAGTTTCATCAGGATAGCTCAAAAAATGAGGGAGAGAGAAGCTCCTCAATTTTCTCCACTGACAGTAATGTTTTCCTTAATTTATTTATTTATTTATTACTGTACTTGTATACCGCTGTTTCTCAGCCTAACTGGCGACTCAACGCGGTTTACAACAAAATACAACAATCAACAGTATTCAGTTAAAACCATAAAAAACATCATACACAATACACAATATTGGCCCATCAATAACAATCCAATGCATCTCCTGACTAAAATCGTGATCCAGTTTCGTCGTCCATATTACCAATCCTTTAATCATCAAATTCATTGCACCGAATTAACCAAATGCCTGTTCGAACATCCAGGTCTTCAATCTTTTTCGAAACACCATCAGCGAGGGGGCTGATCTTACCTCCATGGGAAGGGCGTTCCAAAGCCGAGGGGCCACCACAGAAAAGGCCCTGTCTCTCGTCCCCGCTAGCCGCACCTGTGAAGCAGGCGGGATAGAGAGCAGGGCCTCCCCAGAAGATCTTAGGGTCCTGGTGGGCTGATAGGCCGAGATACGTTCGGATAGGTAGGTTGGGCCAGAACCGTTTAGGGCTTTAAAGGCCAACGCCAGCACTTTGAATTGAGCCCGGTAGCAAATCGGCAGCCAGTGGAGCTGGTGCAGCAGAGGAGTTGTATGCTCCCTGCGCTCCGCTCCTGTTAGTATCATGGCTGCCGAGCGTTGGACTAATTGGAGCTTCCGAGCCGTCTTCAAAGGCAACCCCACGTAGAGAGCGTTGCAGTAGTCTAAACGGGATGTAACCAGAGCGTGGACTACCGTGGCCAAGTCAGACTTCCCAAGGTACGGGCGCAGTTGGCGCACGAGTTTTAACTGTGCGAATGCTCCCCTGGTCACCGCCGAAACCTGGGGTTCCAGGCTCAGCGATGAGTCCAGGATCACACCCAAACTGCGAACCTGCATCTTCAGGGGGAGTGCGACCCCATCCAACACAGGCTGTAACCCTATACCCTGTTCGGCCTTGCGACTGACCAGGAGTACCTCTGTCTTGTCTGGATTCAATTTCAATTTGTTCGCCCCCATCCAGACCGTCACAGCGGCCAAGCACCGGTTCAGGACCTCGACAGCCTCCTTAGTAGCAGGTGGAAAGGAGTGACAGAGTTGGACATCATCTGCGTACAGATGACATCACACTCCGAAACTCCGGATGATCTCACCCAGCGGCTTCATGTAGATGTTAAACAACATGGGAGACAGTATTGAACCCTGAGGAACCCACAAGACAAAGGTTGTGGGGTTGAACAGGAGTCTCCCAGTAACATCTTCTGAGACCGACCCTCAAGGAATGAGCAGAGCCACTGTAAAACAATACCTCCAAGACCCATCCCCGCGAGGCGTCCCAGAAGGATACCGTGGTCGACGGTATCGAAGGCCGCTGAGAGGTCCAGCAGCACCAACAGGGACACACTCCCCCTGTCGAGCTCCCGGCGCAGATCATCCACTAAGGCGACCAAGGCTGTCTCGGTACCATGCCCCGGCCTAAAGCCAGACTGTGCGCGTCCAGATAATCCGTGTCTACCAAGAATGCCTGGAGTTGTGAGGCCACCACACGTTCCAGGACTTTGCCCAAAAAGGGAGATTGGAAACAGGCCGATAGTTGACGAATTGAGTGGGGTCCAGTGATGGTTTTTTCAACAGCGGTT